GTTAAAGAAGTGGAATCTGCGAGTGTGAAAATATAAGTCTCTAACTGGGATTCGAACCCTGGAACTTTGTATGCAGCCTCACGTGTTTTGTTTCTTATTTTTAAATTGCGTTCGTATAACAATTATCTTTATCCATGTGATAAATGTCAACAAAAGTGGTGGAATACAGCAGAACGTTAGTCATAAATTCCCCTATTGCTGGAATAAAAGTCCCGTTCTACGTAGCAAATACTATGCATAATTATTAAACATGTTCCTTGTCCTAAAATAAACTGATGAGTTACTTGTAGTGTACGATATTGAGGGCGCTTTTACATCCTTGTACAGCAGGCCAAACAGTACAATCCTACAGTATAGTACAAATCCTTCGTTGCGCTCCGCAAACGCGGAAATCATTGTGATCACATGTCTTAAATATCGCATATGTCTAAAAATAATTCTGGGAAACGCCTTCGTCTGGTAATAAAACAAGCGAAACTCTCTGACATCTTCATTAATCGATTGGACTCGCAACTATAAACTAGGAGACTTAGTTATATATTTTTAGTTCTAAACTATTATTTAAAATAGCAATTTTTGATTTCATAAATCTAATTATGAATAAAGGTAAAATGTATTCTAACTTCAACAAAAGTGCTTTATGCGCCGTACTTGTATTTCTGTCAGCAGTATATGGGAGCCCACTGTCGAGGATGAGACGCTCATCGACGTCTTCTAGCCAACAAGACGGGCCTTTCAGCAGGTGCTCCAACACATCGTCGTTAACTTACCCACAACTGTATTATCCTGCGACAACGACTGTTCCCGTCCATGCGTTTGATACGAGTCTACTTTCACAAACTAACTACAATACGGAGAGCGAGATCCCACACAAAGAATGTCCGTACAACAAGGTGCCAAGTAAGTTTATATATTATTTAACTTGTAGTAAGCTTAAGCCTTCCGGGCAAACGGAATAGGAATGTTTCCAAAAAAACATTATCTGGTTTTACATGTCTATTTCAGCCAACTATGAAGCTACTTAAGTATAACATGAAAAAGACTAATGAGGTATATCATTATTTTCCTGTCATATACGGGAAAGAACTGTAATATCCGATTGAACATTGTGTTGATCCGGATTTTCCAACGATAAACCTCTTAACGTGACGTCTTTATTTTCCTTACAGCTGACTATAGTTTATCTGAGTCTGGTCTCTGTCCGTTTGACTTTTATGAAGACTACCAAGCTGATCGTATTCCAGCCACAATTATGAAAGCAAGGTGCCGACCGACCTGTACCACCTGCATCGACCCCTTCGACAACACGCAGACGTCGACGTTGGGATGTGAAGAAGTCATGTACACAATGAAAGCCATGAGGAAAGTTGGCTGTGAGGGAAGTGTGTTCCAATTTGAACAGTACGATGAAATCTTTCCGGTTGCCTGTATTTGCCAAAGAACCGTGAGACCGTCGACCAACCCGGGTCCAGGTGGCCTACCACCAAATTAAACGATCGTCTACACGTCTGTTTATCATGGAAGTAATTCATTAAGGAGAGATTATTATGGAAGTGTGTGTTAGCTGAAACCTTGATTATACAGAGTATATTTATTTATGCAGAGTATTATTATTTATATAAATACAATTTTTATATTTGTTTTTCCAATAACTGACGATACGTGGTATATAATGTGTGTTAAATGTAAATATCAAATATAAATAAATATATTTAATAAATATTTATCTTTTACATTAAAACTCAAAATTGCATTCATTTTAGAACGCCAGTAATCTTAATTTATATTTATTATAACTATTTAATTTAGGATATATTTTATTTAAGTTGTTACGATATTTCAATTGCGGATAAATCCGTATTGTAATATAGTATATTATTATGGCTCAAAAGAGCCGAAGCTGAGGGGATATTTGTGTGGCACACGTGTCGAGTGATACGTGTAATGTGTTCATGTGCATTTTACACATGACGCAAATAATCCCTATCGGGACATACTCGCTGTTGTAAGCAGTTTGAACATTTTCAAGTATCTACTATGTAGAGAATGAATTTATTGGTAACGCATGACCAAGTGGTCACATGCCCTTTTTTTTATTAAGTACATACGCAAAAATTATTTATATCATATTACATTATAATATATAATGCCTTTTATATTTCGACACAAATATGCCAAATATATTATTTATTCTCCTTTTAGGAGTGATCTGAAATTGTACATAATTATTAATACGAATTATAGACGTGAATGACGTTACAGTAGGCCTCATTCAAACTTGGTTCTAAAATTTTGGAGTTAAGACTATAGTATACGAATTTATCAAATGCTATTATAAAGTTTAATTATTTTATATTTTCAAATTTAATGCATATATGCCAAATGAATCATGTATTCCTATTATATAAGTGACCTTAAATTGTACATATTATATTCATACAAATTATAGACACTGTCAAAAGTGCTTGCCAGCGGATTATATTCAACCAAAGGCCTAAAGTTTTAGAGTTACGAAAGCTTACAAATTTACCAAATTTTAATATATATTTTACGTAGAATTGTAGATAATGTAACGTATTTATACATTGTATATAGAAATCTAAAAACAATGAAATCTATATTCAATCATTGGCCTAAAAGTTGTTAAGGAAGTTTACGAATTGATTAAATATTTGTTGTAATATAATTATAAATGTAATATATCAAAATTATATTTAGTTTTGGTAATTAAGTTATTTACATACAAATAAAGTTATTTATTACGGTAGGCTACTTAAGTTATTTGATCCATTTGTTAGGAAATTGTAGGTTTGAATCAATTTCTTTCAGGATTTAAGGGGAATTTAGCAATAGTGAAATATTTGTGATAATCACAGAACTATAAATAGAAACTTAGCATGGCAGAGAACTATATATTAACATACAACCAAATTATTTTCTGAAAGCTGTATAGGAATTAGAGGCTTAATATTTCAAATACCGGCAGCAATTTGTATAGAATAGAACAGAAAGTAGGCCGAAAGTTTTTAGAAAAGGTGTGAATAAACAAACTGATTGTTAAAATTATAGATTGTACTTACAAAATAGATACTTGCTAAAGTTATTATTGTCGCTTTTGCAAAATAAACTATTATAATAATACCTTCTTTATTGTTGTTTATTATAATAATATCTTATTTTATGGATTTGTTTATTTATACGTTATATAAAGCCAAGTAAATAATAATAATAATAATAAATAATAATAATAATAATAATAATAATAATAATAATAATAATAATAATAATAATAATAATAATAATAATAATAATAAATGAATCGAGTGGTGGAGCGGTAAAAATGCGAGTCGAGTGGTCGACAGATAAAGCAGAGACTTGTCGATATTGACGGAGCGGGTGCGTTTTTGAGTGTTTGAGCGGAAAGGCAGGGAATCGGCGAGGCGAGAGCGAATGAGTAGAGTGGTAAAAGGCGAGTCCACCGGTAAGGCAGACAGAGACTCGTCGAATAGCAGAGAGGGTGAGTGAAGTGATCGAGGGTAAGGGGGCGGGGCGCGTTGAATAGCCGAGCGTGTACGTGAGTCAAAAAGTGGAACAGAAAAGCAGGGGAGGTTCGAATGGCCGGGCGGGGTGAGTCGAGCAGTCCTTCAAGCGGTAGGGGTAATGCAACCTATAACCGGTGTGAAAAAAAGGTAATTTTAATAAAATCTACACGAATTGTGCTTTTACATAAAAGAAAGCAATTAGAAGAAATAACAAGGTAGTTACGTTGAAGAAAAATTTAAAATAGAATAAAGGTTGATAATTAGAAAAGAAAAATAAGCTTGCTAAATTACATGGTGCAAACTTACTAAATTTAGGAACGTTAGACCGTTTTAAATAAACTGCATTTTCTTTTTGTCCTCTAACACTGGACGCTACAACTGACCTAAATATGGGTATTTGTCATTACACGTTAAAATCCGGTCTGAAATGATATAACTACCTGTATGTGTGCACAGTTTTATTGTTATCAATGGTGGTATCAGATCCCAAACTCATCCCCCAGTAGTTTAGTAGGCCTGTGATTATAAATTTCAAAATGCAGATATGCATTGAATAACTATAGTTTTCGTTGA